GCACAGAGCCCTCACCAGGTAGAATACATAGGAATCATATCTACCACATCTGTAGAATGAGCCAGTGGAGAAATGCAATATCATCAGTGAAAAACCATGTTCTGCTACTATTCATAAGTCTTTTTAGTGGCTAATTCTTGAGAATGTCTGACCTATTCTTCTTCCTAGACGTTTCTTAGTCTGGAAGCGTCACTGAAATGCATCCACTACAGGAAACCCTGCTGATCTTTAAAATACTAATGGCACACTTTGCAGAGGCACCACTACACGCACACACACACACACACACACACCACCACCACCACCGTAGGTACTACAAACTGATGGACAAGTGGTGGAGTTTGACTTTATGGAACCTTTAAAAACGATTGTTACTCTGATTTTGCATCATTGGAGATAACAAAAAATCTGTATTAAACTAGCAGCCATCAGAAAGAATGAAATTTTTTTTGGTCTTTTCTAACCTGGCTGAGCTAATGTCATTATAATCTATTCTAATTCCTGTTTATTTTTCTTCTTTAGCTTAGAAATAAAATATCAAATAATTCATCTAAAAATCAAACACTTGCACTTCTCAACCCATTTCAAATTCATGTATTTATATTCCAAAGTAAATATTACTTTAGCATTTCAAATGAAGTGAATGGAACATTGACTTATAATGTTCACACTCTTACTACTAGGCATGGGAATCACAGAAATGTTATAATGGTCCTGCAGAATATGTGGAGAGAATTCAGAAACTGGATAGCAGGTTGGACTGAATGATTCCAGGCTCCTTCTCAGAATTAAGGCTTTGTAATTATAGATAAAAGTGCCCACACGACATGATAGCATCGAGCAACACAAATTAATTACCTCAAAAGGTGTATGACTTGGTTCTTGAATGTTTAAGACCAATAATGCACTTAATAAATATTTTACTGCACTGCTTTCCAAGAACATTGTCAAAAACAACTTACAAGTGCTGACATTTATTCTCTAACAGCCTACTAGCCATAAGACAATGAAATATGTATTGAACAGTCCTTTCATACTTAAATAAATTTATTTTAATGGAATTAGAGGAAAGTTTTATTTATAGTAAATGGTTTGACAGTAATATACAATATGACTAACATATGTATACTTTCCTAATGCAAAAAAAGAACAAAATTTACAACTACCCCTAAAATATACATCTAATTATTAAATGTGGTCAACTCTGCCATGAAGTGGATTCTGACTCATAGTCACCCTGTGTGACAAGCAGCACTGCCTCTGTGAGTTTCTGAGACCATAACCCTTCCTGGGAATAGAAAGCCTTCTCTTTCTCCCAAAGAGTGGCTAGTGGTTTCGAACTACTGACTTTGTAGCTAGCAGCCCAGATTATAACCACTACGCCATTAGGAGTCCTTTGTATCCAGTAACCAAAAACCAAACTAACTGCCACCAAGTTAATGCTAATTCATAGTGATCTCTTGTGGGCTTCCAAGACTGTAACTGTCCATGGAAGCAAAAAGCCCAATCTTTCTCTCCCAGAGCTGCTGCTGGTTTTGAACTGCCAACCATGTGGATCACAACCCAGTGTGTGACCACTACATGACCAGGGCTGCTTTGTGTCCACCCAGTAACAGCAGGCATTAAAAACCCTGATGTTCTGATTGGTGCCTGAAGGCAACGGTCCTTGCTTTCAATTTAGATCCTTCCTTTGAATTCTCTAACTTGTTATTTAGATGTTCATATACCCAGCTTGGACAAGGATAAAATAAAAAGTACATTGTTGTGTTATTATTGAGAGGGAAAAAATCAGTGAA